GGACATGCTTAAGTTAATCCACAATTTCAGTTTATGGTCTCGTAAGCGTCGTTTACTGCAAACGTTTTGATCTCTTGCCCCATCCCCTTTATCCTTCGCTGATGGGTATAAAAACACACAACCAAGGATTAATGAATAATTGAAATAGAAAGCTTTTCTAACATTTTCGACATTGCTACACAACTTTGCTAACATTTTGGATTCTCTGCACAATTTCATTCCTTAAAGAGAATTTAAGATTAATTCTTTGTTCAACAAACTTATCCATTTCGAAAATTCTCTGACAATAGTCTCCAGCTTTCACAAAAAATTTCAACCCATAACGCAACAAACCGAACAACATGAAGTTTCTCCCAGATTTCAACGATCGAGGGGCACCGGCCTAATAAAAAAAGTTTAAATTTATACTTGTAGTTTTTTCAAATAAATATTTCCCTTATTTATTGAACATAGTAACAGGTGCTTGCATGTATTATGAACAACGACGTCTATTGGTGAAAATGAAAAATGAATGCAAAGTATCAATGTATATATCGTTGATTTCGATGATTTTAACATTTGTCTATATAAGACAATGGTTTTCTGTTCAGTATTATTGAGTTATTCAGTGTATACAGACGCTAATCATAGAACGCTCATAATCGCATTTTGGACTTTCGCTACTTTTATTGGTTGGTTTGGAGAAATCTGTTGCCTAAGCCTATTGCCGGTTTTGGTTTCGAGGATTTAAAAGTGACGATTTTGATCTCAATGGCAAACAACGGCCTGGAAGGCAATGGATTGCGGAACTTGTTGGATGAAAACCTGCTTCAAACACTTAAATAACTTTTGAACAACTTAGCAGTTTATGAATGTTTCTAGGCGTTTACTCGCTATGGGAGAGACCCAGCAAGAGGGAAAATTCTATTTCAAACTATTTGAACATCGCGAATTCATTGCTTGCCACATAAGAAAAGAAGGGTTTTCTGTGGCGTATGGTGACTGGCTATGAAAAATGAGTCTACTATGACAATTACAAGTTCAAAATCATAGGTTCCTCCAGGAGAGCCATGCAGATCTATATAGTTTAAAGTGCATATGGTGAGGTCAGCAAGGTGTAGTTTATTTCGAGCTGTTATACCCGATGAATCTCTTCCTGCAGATGTCTACCGATGTCAATTGAATTAACTGAACCAAGTATTGTTGCAAGAAGGATTAGCAATAGCGATTAACAGACGCAAAGTTGTTGTGTTGTAGCTTGAATGGGAAGTTTCGTCTCACGCGGTATTCTCGCCAGGCGCAGCGCCTTCCGATTACCATGCGTCCAGATCTATGTAGAAATATGGAAAAATACTGTAGAAAATGATGGAAAATATTTTGATTAATATATATTGTGCCGATTTTTCTCAATAAATACCTTTTCAAAGTGAAAAATATACGTGCAAGCTATGAATATTATTAACATGTTGTGATTTATTCATTATCTTTTGACCACTTTGGTAGATTGAATTTAAATAATAAAAGTACAAAAACCATTTCGTTTTTATTCAAGATACTGGTAAAGTGTCATAACATTAATAATAATAATATTGATTAAAAATACAAATATGTCGGTAATCAAATTCTTTTACAATAGGGACCGTTTATGAACGTAAAAAAGATATGTCACGCTAAGTCAATCATTAGCCGCCTTTAAGACTTTGTACGAAATCAAGAAACTAGATTTAAATGGATTAAAAGCATTATAAGAAAAAAAAAAAGAAAAAATAAAAGAATTTAAAAAAACAGGAAATAAATCTGATAAAAACACTTTAACAATTGAGTTATACAAAAAAATACCTTAAGCATATCTCTGAAAGTAAGGCACAAACGCACTCACATCCATATACATATTAAGTGTAAACTTAAGTAAAAGATAAACAATACGTTAAAAAATATTGTAATAGAAGCTGAACCGAAAATCTTCGATTGGCTAAAAGCTATTCTACAATATAACGGGGGTTCAGTTGTAATCGACTTTTTTATACTCTTTGTAACTCAATTGTAAGTGAATATGTTCTGTTTTTCTCCTCCCTTTTAAGTTATTATTGCTGAAAATACGAAGATACGAATTTATAATCGTTTGGATAAACGCGTACTTGCCAAATCTACAAATTATTTACAAAGTCTTGCAAAATCATGATCGCATGATCCTACGATATAATAGGTTAAGTTAATCATAGTTCAATATTATGGGTGAAAAACTAACTGGACTACAACGACAAGGCCGCGTACTTATTGCATAACTGCAAAGCCCTCGAATGCATAAAAAATGCGATAAAACAAGAAATTGCACGCAATAAAAAAATATGAAATGTCACCTTCAAATCCCAACTTATGCGAGCGGGGAAAAACGCGTGTATACCACATGGAAAGCATGCCGCACGGTCGCATGTGCATAATATACTAATACGCTGAATCAGAATTTATATGTGCATCATTTATATGTCCGCTTTTCATTGGGTGCGAATCATTATCTACATATATATATATATAGATTGTGTATATATTTGTATGCATACAACATATATATTTAATTGCCGTTCTCTTTGGAACAGCCGTAAGTAATATCCAGATTACAAACTAAGTAAAAGCTAATGTTTTCTGTTTTTAATAGGAATGGTTGGTCAGGAAATGTCGCAAATGTGTGGTGGCCAGAAATTAGTGGGGAAGTGGAGATAAGGATTGGGTATTAGCTGCGCCTAGTGGATGCATCCACAATCGGTAAGTGCTGTCACACGACACCGTGGTTCGAGGCAGTGAACAGACGTTCAGCATCAGGCAATGAGAGCTGAACGCGTCTAACCTTAAGGAATAAAAGCTATAAAAATATTATTAGCTTCATAATTTATTGAATTGGGGAAGAAAGCCGCGAGCAAGAAAGGACGTGGGGGACATGTGTTCAATGTTTAGCATCTCTCTAGTTCTATATTGACATCGATTTTGACCGATTCACGTGACGCATAACTCACATATATTGGAAAATGCAAGAACAAAAGTTTATGATTTATGCGGATAGACATACAAAACGCTCTCGCCTTTACTTCAATCTCCAGGTTTTACTTGCATATTGTGTCTTCTAAAGCGACACTAATAAAGCGATGCTTGTGCGTGCACGACTATATCATATCGCACGTCATGTCAGCATAAACTTAACAATATAGAAGCTGCAATTGACTAAGCTGGCTGTGTCAGTATTGAAATTTATTAGCGGCGACATGCTATTCTGCAACTAATTCGCCATGACTTAACGATGCGGGCATAGCTCGACTAGATAGCTAAACATCGTCCTATTTCCTACGTAGTAGAACTATCTTAGTTTTCGTGCATTTACTTCAAGGAAAATTTTAATGAATGAAAAACTTTTACACCCTGTTCCTAAGAAGAAAAAATAATTTTAGGGTATCTGTATACATCATATTTTTATAATTTATATAATTAATAATTCACGACAATTTCGTACGTAGGAGTATTGTTGAATTGAATATCAGTTAAAGATATTTCAATCTTCAAATGAGTTTAGGCGACTTGGAACCAATTAACCTGGTTGTGTTTTAGGATTGGTGCTACGGTTGTCTTCTCTTGGTAACCTTGAATATCATTTTAATCTGAAGATTGGCCACGCGCGGATCCAAACATATTCGTTCAATTTTTCACGTTTCATTAAAAGAAACTATATTTAAGCTGCAAGCAATTAATTTCCAAAGTGACATTGTATACATACATATACTTCTCTGCCTAGCTCCGATTTCGACAACTTCAAGAAAATTTCTCTTTTCTTCTTCAAAAATCTTGAAGCTAAATGGAAAAAAACTCGGCTACTTCTTATAACCTACGTTACTTGTTCAACAATGGCATATTTAGTTCGTGCGATTAAATGCAACACCTAGAACGACTTGGCGTAGACCCATCTGTTGTTATAACGATCGAGTTAGAATCCGTGTCTGACTTTGCTATGGAAGTTTCCCGTTCTGTATCGATCTAAGCTGGTCTGTCAGCGTTGGTTTCCTCTGTGCAACCTACAGGCCACAATTTTTAAGTTATCTTGACGAAATTTGGTACAACCGGACGTGTTTTGCCGTAAGCACGAACACTGTTGAAAATAGTTCGGATCGGACACTTTTTACGACCACTTCCTATATAGCGCTTTTTTATAATGTGGTTGTATGGGTAAGTGTATGGCGAAGTAGGGTTTTTAATAATGAGCCGTGACACACTATAGTGTTTTTACTGGTTTTTCGATAATATTGCATTTAGATATACGTAACATTTTATGCTCATAATAAAATCAATAAACAAATTAGTTAAATTTTATTATAAAAATGCAAGAATATTAATTTAGATTAAAATCTCGATTGCATTAAACTAGCTGCTAACTACACATATAATGTCCCAATAAAATAATAATCCTGATCATTCGTTAAGAGCGTAGAGAAATGGCTATAGAAGATTTCCTACTGATATCGTTGCTTGTGTGTGGTCGTGAAATATTTATTATATTTTTCTTTTGATGATATGCAAGTAGTTAAATATCTTTCACGGCATAAACTTTAGCCGCTTTTGAGATGGCAACATGAAATTAAACTCCTCGCATGCGTGCGCGATACCCATTTACTCTCAAGTGTTCAGAGAGCGCTGGTGGATTACTACATTTCACTACAACGATTTTCAAGTGTGCTTCACTTCAGTTCTACGATTTTGCTTGTTTTCTTGTTGTTCTTTTTCTCTTGCCAGTCTCCGTTCAAATCAATACGAGAGTACATAACTGTTGTCGCAACATTGTCAACGTCCAGTCCCAAAGATACGAGCGAACCTTCAACACTCATAAATACACCATAGATTAAAGTGGCGGGCGAACCCTCTATAACAATTGCTGCATACGTAAATGCAGTCATTTCATAAAGTTTTTCTTAAAAATTTCGTGATATTCTCTGTTTCGCGTTTATATGTGCGCACGCATTTTGTGTTTATGAACAAAAGGTGTTGTGAATAATTAGGAGCTTGAAATAAACAAGTCTGACATATTAAAAATGTTGACTGTATAAGGAATCATATGAAAAAAAGAAAAATTATTTTATTTATATTTTAATACTTTAAACAACAAAAAGCAAAGATTACCTACTTTTTTTTCTGTTAAAACATGTTTAAGAAATGGAAAAGATCCCTTTTTGGGATACTTTTAATACAATTGTTTGTCAAAACGTTCGGCGGTAATTTAAAGATTAATATGAAAAATGATACTCACAGTGACATGGAAAGAAGTGCCGCGGTAAATAGAATGCTTTTAAATTCCCATACAATTAATAAAGAAAATACTACAACCATAATAGCTACTAACAAAGACTATGATAAAAAAACCATTAGCTTATCGAAAGAAAGCGTTCAAGAAAAAGGTAAATATAAATGATATGACAGAGGGACTCCGCTATTACGATTCATGAAGTATAAGCAAGCAAATAAATCTTTTAAGAAAAAATTCTTTAAAGAAATTGATTGACAAAATTGACAAAAGAAATAGAGCGTCTTTCATTACGAGTGACCCTCATTAGTGGCGATTCTTTTTAAAATTAAGCGAAAAAAAACCAACTCAACGTATCAGACGTATGCGTTATTTTGGAGCTTAGACGTTGTAGTTATATTCTCATATTAAATGCTGCGACTTTGGTAAAATTTTTTATTGATTTCTAAACGTTAAGGAATCATGAGCCGCTGAATTCTATTAGATTAGAAAAAAATATTTGAAAGGAGGAAATTACAATTTTAAAAAGTATCGCGCTTATTGATAGACTCTCTTCACATAGAAGAGCTAAGGGAAACTTAAAAAGTATGGTTTTTGAGACGTAGTTATGACAAGACATTAAAGTTGCAAACACTGCCGTAAAGCAGTTAAATGAAAAAATTATAAAATTGAACAGAGCTTTTTCTTCACCCATACATAGTTCTTTTATAGACGTCAATGAAAATCTTGAAAGTATTTTTTTGCATCTGATAAAATGTATGTATTGAACGTAGCCCCACTGTCGCAATTTCATAGTAAATCCATCCTTTACGTGCTATGTCTTAAAAGCTTCCTTAAAGTTTGAGATATTTTAGAAATAAATGAAAGCATATGTTGTAGGGAAATGCATTTTTTTCTTTATTCCTTTGCTCGATTATTCATTCATTATTATTCATTGGCTTACGATAGTCGAAATATCGAACTTGAAGTTGAATGAACAGATTTTACGCAAATTAGCCCAGAAAGTTGAACGACTCTTATGCTTTCTGCAATAGCTTTTGCTTTAAAATTTCAATTATTAAGTTATTTATTTAGATAAACAATTACTAAAACAAATCAATGCCTGTGTGTCTCACTTCACGCCATCAATCGTTTAGTTCGCTATATGCTTCGCATACAAACAAAGAAAATCAAGTAAATTTCAATTAGCTTCTGTTTAACTTACGCTTATTTGCTGAGAGGTTCCGATTTTATTTGTGTTTCTGCCTTTTTTGTTATACATTTAATTCTATTTCTACGAACTCGTGCCTTAGGCTTAAAAACACATGTTTGCTCTTGTAAACAATGCCTCGTATTTGTATTTTGTTCTTTTTTCTTTTTTGCTTATGCCTGCACAAATGTGTTCCTCTTAAACGTCAGTTTGAAGGCCAGTATGAATTGTGACAAAAATTTTTAAGTTAAATCCAATCGAAGACGAGTAAGAAAGTTATATATAACTTAAAACGAACCTTGGAGACCTATCACCATTCGTTTTTGTTTTTTTCTTATTTTCTCGCAATTGTTAGCGGTTCAGTCGATAGATCTTGATTAACTTTGCACTTTAGGTGGCTGTGGCGATGGATGAAATTTCAATTCGATCTTTGCTATGGGTTATGACTTACGGATGGAAACATGTTGAAATTTTTATTTCCTTTTTGGAAGATTTGTTACTGAGCGGCTGAAGTTTCAACTAACTACATCTATTTTTATGGATATAAAAATTCCAAAATCAGATGGTGAACAGAAGGACAGACAGACGTCTTACTGAGAATATTATGTTAAGTTGGAGCTTGTCGAAGTTACGTGTTATACAATAATGACTGTTAGACATGATAAAGTAGAAAAGCAAGTCATCTTACCGGAGGCGAATATAGGTAGGCGAGACAATAGGTATTTGACAAAAGATTCCTTTAACCTGTCCTTTGATATACAAGCCTTTTTCAAGGCTTGTACCTGTGTCATGTCAAAAGTTAGGGTCCAGACCGTGAAGATTGTGCTGGATCAAAAGCAGTCTGTGCGATATTGTTAACTTAACAAATTGATTGCCAAGTTACAAACAAAGAAAAAAATGTTTTATACATTTGTCTTTCCGCACGCCACTGAAAGGAGCATTGAGGTTGTCATGGAAATGCCATAAAACGTGCACAGTCGTGATCAATCCAACGATCATAATAGTACCTACAAAATATTCATTAACACAAAATTGTAACATCAAACTAATCGTGTGTCCGCTTCTTATCGAAAAGAGAGATTGCTTGAATGTTGCATTGAAATACAAATCTTAAGTTCAAAGTTTATATTTTACGTTTGTTTTACTTTTGGAAGGTTGCACGATTTAGACTTAAATTGGTGTAAGCAAGGTTGGTAGGATCGTCTTTTTTGCGGCTCCGAAAGTAACCGCAAATAAGAGAAACTTCTGAGATTGTCACATTGGGGCTCACATGTTTTTCTCAATATACTGCTTGGATCTTGCCTTTATTTGCGGAATGCAATGCATACTTGGTTGTAGAGCGTACAAAAATTAATTGTTAAAGCTTATTACGAAAATGCGATTTTTGAACAGGAAATTGTCATTGCAGTCATCGTTACTGGAGAACGCCAGGGACACACCGATTTGGACGTGGGCGATATGACCTGATAAAACTGTGGAAAAATGCCATGCATTTCGTGACAAAGCCAATTTATTAGGATGAAATGTCGATGATCTTGTAATCCTCACTAATGCCTATGTGAGCCTGCTGCAAACATCACGTGATAAAGCGCTATTCAAGTTTTTGCTTTGCCGCTATGCTGGAGTATTCCCTTACTGCTGTAAACCACGTACTCTCAATGACCTTATTTATCGAGATTGCGAAATAAGAGGAGAGTTGTAAGGAAAAATGACAAAAAGTAATTTGCAAGAATTAAATTTTCACAGAAGCCCGGAGTCCGTCGATCACATAAAATCATTTTTAAGGAAAAATAATGGCATGAACCGATATGAAAGTAAAGGAAAATTCATGTCAATATCTTTTACCGATCAGCTTTTATTCCAAATAAGAAAAAAAAAAAAATATTAAATTCGGTTGGAAACGAAACTTGTGTACCCATCACCAGACAAAAGAAGTAAAAGAACAAAATATTCACTAAATAAATCTTTTTATACCCATCAACGAAGGATGAGGGGTATATTCATTTTGTCAAAACTTTTGCAACGCCCAGAAGAACACCCCAGGGACCCTTCTAAGTATACATATTCCTGATCAGCATCAAATTCTAAAACGATTTAAGCATTTCCGTCTGTCCGTATGCCTGTCTGTGCAATGTCTATTGTAAACATTCTCCTGGCCCCAAAAATGGCCTTTAAATTCGAAACGAAGATTGGAAGTTCTTAAACGCGCATTGGTACTTGCAATGGCCCAAATCGATCGAAGGACACACCCACAGCACCGCGTAAACTCATGCCTTTTTCAAAAGGAATAAGTAATTGATTTTTGGCTCATTACTCATAAACTTAAGCAGGTAAACGAACTAAAATTTGAACGCATACTCTATGGGCAATGCGGCACCTGTATAAAAGTGGAAAAAATTGGCCATGCCTACTCAATGTTATAGTACATCAAAATTTAATTTCTTTTCAATACCTTTATAACGCACAGAAACAACCTTCGAAAACTCCATAGAGAATAAGAATTCAAATTTGTTTGCAAACTTTCAAATTTGGAATGCATTTAAACATGTGCGTGTATTCGTCTGCCCATCTTCCCGCCTGCTCATTTGTGTAGTACCTCTTGTAACATTCTCCTGTTCTCGAAAATCTCTTACAAAAGACTTAGGCTTTTCCAAAAACACGCCTACTACGCCCACTTGCTTATACGACGAAAATTTTTTGTTATGAAAATAGATAAAATCAGCCGCGCCCACTCCATACTATAGAGCATGAAAATTTAGTTCTTTTACTTTTTTGCCCTTTTTTAAGATAACGGTGCTGGGTATAGAAGATTCGACCACGACTGAATGTAATTTTCTAATTTGTTTATGTGTAATTTGACTCATCTCAAGCAACCCAAACGTAAACATTTAAATGACATTACTATAGAGCAGTAACTTTATTTTAATTTACGTGGAGTAGTAGGCGTGGTTATTATAAATGGCAACAACGACAATGATATGTAAAACGATGCAATATGATTTATTTGTATATTAAACACTAATGAAATTTCAACAGACACTTACAAGCTTTTGCAGTATCTTTTACGGCATAAAAAACACTCAGCTGATCATGGATGAGATCATTTATTAGGTTTTAATTACAAAAATTTGTACACATCTTTATGATGGCCTTAATGCTCTTCTTATAGTACTTATGACAGTCTTTATTGTCTCTATATGTAGTCAATATATTTATTAAATCTTAATGTTATGTAGAGGGTAAGAAAATTTCAAAACAAACTTTAGTTTTAATAAATAAGTAGAAGATTCCTGGATCTTAAGGTGAACTAAAACTCATGCAAAGTGAGCAAGTTTCGAACGTGTTCGGCATAACTAAACAACGTCAATTGTCTTTCAAGTCTTTAGTAAATTGAGAATATATTTTATGTATTTTTAATTCGTCCAGTAAGTATATTCGTTAAAAAATTTGGCTGCGATGTGCTTTCAAAATATTCATCACTGCTCAATGACTTTCTTTCATTACTCATAGGGAGCATTTCTTTAGAAAAATATTGCATCCATTGTTGCGTAAATCGTTTAAGAATTTAGGTCATCGAAAATAATTTTTGTTAACGTCAAATTCAACGCCTTTCTTAAGCAATTTAATTTTTTTTTTTTTTTTTATTCTCCATACTTTTCCAGAATCGTTAACACCAATAAATGATTTTTTCTCTCAGAAAATTTTCCGAAATCGCACAAGTCGTCACATATACTACCGACCGCAATATTTTTATATACAGAATGTGGTAGCGGGCCGTCCACACTGTGCCACTAATCAAGGCTTGCTAGGAATTTGCGTCAGTTTCGATAATTGCAAACAACAAAAAGTATATAAGCGCAACAATAGACAACAATGGCCATCAATAACACCTCGGGAGCCTTGTAGGTCTTTTGATATGTTCGCAAGAGAGTTTATTGGCGTATGCTGTACTTTTTTTGACATTAATAGAGAACACATGAGCCATAAGAAAGGCAATATACCTTCTACCGTTCAAGGAAATGTGCAACAATTTGATTTAAATAATGTTTTTCCTTCCGCTCCTAATGATGACAGTGCGGAGGTGGTAGAGCTTCCTGATAATTTCAGTCATTCGACTGAATCATTCAATGATTCCAGTGACAACGAAGAGGAGAACAACCTTGTTTACGATCCTATTAGGGAAGATGATTGGCGGAAAGCTCCTTTCTACGGTGTCGCGCATTATCCTTGGGCTCCACAGTTTGTAGCATTTGCAGATATACCTCAACAATGGCCGCCTCCACTACCCACACATCCCCCCGCTTTAGCAAATTGGCCGCCACCTATACCAACACACCCACCCAATCATCATTATCCTACCCACCCTCCTTCTTCAGCACAAACAATGCCTAACAAAGATTTGAGCACAACAGTTATAACAAGTGGTATGAAGCCTTCCACCAATCCTGCTATTACTACTACTACTACTACCAAACGCCCGAGTTATCCTAATTTCCCAGGATATCCACATTATCCTACATACCGACCATTGACCACTACTGCTGTAACCACTACTTCAAGGCCATCTTCAACTGGATCAAATAGTTCTACCCTGCCCAGCTTACCATTAAAATGTGGTATCAGAAACGCCATTTCACCTGATCAGGAACGCATCGTTGGCGGCTCAAACGCTAGCCCTCATGAATTTCCTTGGATTGTTGTGCTTTTCAAATCCGGGACGCAATTCTGTGGAGGCAGTCTGATCACAAATGTAAATTATACACATATCTATTTACATATAAGTAAAGTTTCATTTATTGTAGAATCATATTTTGACTGCGGCTCATTGTGTGGCACGGTAAGGTTTTATCAATTTCTTCTCATATATAAAATATTTTTTTTAACTTTCTTAGGATGAACTCCTGGGATGTAGCTGCCCTTACTGCTCACCTCGGAGATTATAATATACGCACCGATTTTGAAGTTCAGCATATAACTCGTCGTATAAAACGCTTAGTGCGACATAAAGGTTTTGATTATAACACTTTGGTAAGTTGTAAAAATTGAAGTGATCCGCAGGAAATGATGAAACGATTGATTCAAAATTTTTCAACTATATTTAGCATAACGATATTGCTATACTAAGCCTTGATGAACCCGTTAGATTTAGTCACGAAATCCGACCAATATGTTTGCCTACATCGACCAGCCAGCAAACTCGGAGTTACAGCGGACAATTGGCTATTGTTGCTGGCTGGGGCAGCTTACGTGAGAGTGGTCCTCAGCCGGCCATTTTACAAAAGGTACACGTACCTATTTGGACTAACACTGAATGTGCTCAAAAATACGGCAGAGCGGCTCCAGGTGGCATTATAAGCTCAATGATTTGCGCTGGTCAGGCGACGAAGGACTCGTGTAGTGTAGGTTTACGTAATAAAAAGCGATATTTAAATTTTATGTAATTCTACCATAGGGCGATTCTGGAGGGCCTTTGATTGTAAATGAAGCCGGCCACTATGTACAAGTTGGTATCGTGTCATGGGGTATTGGTTGTGGCAAAGGGCAATATCCTGGCGTTTACACAAGAATCACATCCTTATTACCATGGATTTATAAAAATCTCAAATAGTTAAGAAAGGAGGGAAACATTAACGCAAACGTTTGACATGTGATGATATAAAATTTTAGTCTTAATTGTGACATTGTAATTAACAATAAAACTTCTTTTTCAATAACAAGAAGTTGATTTAAAAACACCTCCACGTACCGAACTTTTCATTATCTGTAATATTTTTGAGATACATTAAACGAAAAAAATTGCAACCTGTACGAATCTCATTCATGTCATTCTTGACACGATTGCAAATTATAAGCAATGCAACTTTCGAGAACAGAAAAGGTGACACTAGAGCATAAATTGATATAAAATGACACAATATATTGTAATAAAGTTGATATAGTATCGTGAGTTTATGTTATCTGTTTAATGGCGAAGCGTTCAAATATTTATGTTTAATATTTGTTTACGGGAAGATTCCCTATGAATTCTTCCCAAAGTGTTAATGAATGTAGTTTAGCAGTTTAGCCCTATGCTGCTCGGCTGCAGTACGCCAAGTCTATCCGTCTTTTATAATGCCAAAGTGTCTCGGCATAAGACGGTCACTAATCTTAATGGTTCAGGCGGATTGAACGCCTTGTGTTCTTAGCGAGTAAAACGCTTGGTTGAGTTGCTTTATGAGAACTCTGATGAGAACTCCTTTTCTTCATTTTCTTACGCACTATTTATACTAAATTTTTACACTAAACTATTCTTATCTTATTCTAAACAGGATTGTAATTGCTTACTAAATTATCCTTATCACACACTACATTATTCTTATATAAACAGAATTATCACTGTTTACATGCGAAGTGAAGTGTGACATTTTATTTTATCCAAAGGGTTATGCTGAAGTGGCATAATTTTGTCACACTTCAAGTGGATGCATACGATGGTATGCGATCACACTACACCCTTACCGTTTTAGAGAGAAAATTGTTAATGTGTTGATAGACGTTAACAATTTTCTGTTATGAAAGAGGATTTTAGACGGTAATTTTTTTTTTTTTTGATTCATTTAAGTAAATCCTTAAGTGTTTAGTGTTTATTGATAGCTTTGTATGCCTAGTTTTTAATTATATTTGGTTTGTAGTTCTAAATTTTTAATAGTTTTGTATTTTTAGGCTTAACTAGGTTTGGTTTGTAATTGTTTATTTCTTAAATTTAGTTTACATTTATTGTATTGTATCTCTTAATTAAATTTTTATGTACAGTTTTTGGTTTATCTTTAATTTGTATTGTGACATTAGGTTCTTCTATAACTATTACTTCGTATGGTCCTTCATAGGGTTTATCTAATCTTTTACTGTTGTGTTTGTTTAATAGGATTTGATCTCCTATGTTTATATCGATTGGATTAGTGTAATTTTCTTTTGATAGTTGTCTTCTTGCTGCTTTTGCTTTTTCCAAAAATCTTTTAGCCTTTTCTAAAGAATATTTTAATTTTGTTTTTAGCTCATCTATGTAGTTTTCTGGGTTGTATGTAGGATTTGAATTTAATATTGTTTCGTTGGGCATGTATGGCAATTTTCCGTATATCAATTCAAAATGTGTATATTGTGTTTCTACGTGAGGGTAGTGTTATATGCGAAAGTGTAGTATGGTATCCATTTATCCCAATCATTGTTTGTTGCAGAAGTTAAAAGGTATTCGTTAAGAACTCTGTGATTTCTTTCAATTGTACCTAAGGTTTCGTGGTGGTAGGGGGTTGAGAACTTTTGCTCGATATCTAGTAATAGACAAATTTCTTTTATTAGTTCATTGTTGAACTCTGTTCCTCTGTCAGATTTTAATGTTTTAAATTGGCCATATTTGAGTATTACCTCTTCTATTAGGATTTTGGCAATTGATTTTGCGCTTTTATCTACAATAGGATGTGCGATTATATATTTTGTTAGTTCGCATTGTATTGTTAATATGTATCGGAAATTATTGGAAGGTTTTATTGGTCCTACTGTATCTATACTTAGTGTTTCAAAAGATGTGGACGGTGTATCTGTTATTGTGAGAGATTCTTTTGTATGTTTTGTTTGTTTGCTTGTTTGGCAAATGTGGCATTGTTTTATATAATTTTTTATTATATTGCGCCAGATATTTTTCTTACTCCGAAATGTCCTGAGTGTGGGCAAGTGTGGTATTCTACTATTAATTTGCACTTTTCTTCATCATCATATATTCTTTCTCTTTCTTTGTATAATAGTATATTTATGCGGTTTCTTTTAATATTGTTGAATTTTTCTTTTAATATCTCTTTGGATATGTATTTAAATATATCATCATGTAGACTTAATGTCTAAGAAATTTAACTTGTTTAGTTTTTATGTCAATTTTTCCAAGAGCGCATCGAAATGGTCTGGATATTCATTGCATCTCACACGTGTGTAGTTTAATTCGTTAACATTTTCAATTATCATATCTTTTATACCGCTTTAGAATTTGATTTCTAATTTTCTTGTGTTCTTAATATCATTTATTGATGTGCATTCCCACATATTTAGTTGTTCATTGTGTGTGTTTTCTTTTGCCGATTTGCTTCTGGTTATTACTAGTGTCTTTTTTATCCGTTCTTGGTCTTCTTCTCTGGATATTGGAATCATCTCTTTTAATATATTAGAATTTATATTTATCCTTGATAAGGCGTCAGCGTTAGTGTTGCTTGAACCTTTTTTATAAATTATGTTGAAATCGTAGTCCGATAATTCTATTCTTATTCTGATTAATTTTGAGGTAGGGTTTTTGTGGGAGAATAGTGCTACTAATGGTCTGTAATCAGTTATCACTGTGAATTTTTTCGCGAATAAGTAGGGTCTGAAATGTGTTATTCCAAAGTGGATTGCGAGTAGTTCTTTTTCTATGATCGGTTTGTTTTTTTTGTGTTTGTTTAGAGATTTGCTTGCGTATGCGATGGGTAAGTCTTGACCTATCTCTCGTTGTGATAGTACTGCTCCTAAGGCGTAGTTTGATGCATCAGTTGTTAAAATGAAGGGTTTATCGAAATTTGGATATTGTAATATGGGTGGGGATATTAGTTTGTTTTTGAGTTCTAGGAATGCCTGATTACATTGGTTTGTCCAGTCGAAGTCTTTTCCTTTTTTCAGGAGATCGTTTAGTGGTTGTGCTATGTTGGCAAAGTCTTTTATAAATTTCCTGTAATAGTTGCAAAATGCTACAAATCTTCTTACTTCGTCAGTGTTTTTGGGTTGGGGGTAGCTTTTTATTGTTTCGTGCTTAGCGGGATCTGGTTTTATGCCTTCGGGTGTTATTAGGTGTCCTAGATAGGTTACTTCTGGTTGTAGGAAGTTGCATTTGGATGGATTTAGTTTTAGATTATATTTGTTAAGTCGTTCTAGTACTTTCGTTAAATTTCTGTTGTGATGTTCGAAACTACATCCATGTATTATTATGTCGTCTACGTATAAAAATGCTTCGGTGTTTAGTCCTGATAAAGCTATGGTTAACATTCTTTGAAAACTGTTGGACGAAATTTTTAGTCCAAATGGAAGTCTCGTGTACTGATAGTGTCCGTTTGGTGTTGAAAAGGCGGTTAAAGATCGTGAGTTTTTGTTAAGTTTTATTTGATGAAATGAGTTTGTCATGTCCAAAGTGGAGAAATATTTTGCTCGTCCTAGTCTATCTAAGATGTCTTCTAATCTTGTAAGGGGAATTTGTCGTTTACTATTTTTTCGTTTAGTTTTCTGTAGTCAACTACTAGTCGCCATTTCTTTATGTCTGTCTGATTTTTTTTGGGTACTAGTAAAAGTGGTGAGTTATAGGGGCTAATTGAGGATTCTATAATGTTTTGTTGGAGTAATTCTTTTACCTGAGTGTGTATGGTGTCAGTTTGTGTGTGGGGTAATTTATAGTTTTTTATGTATACTGGTGTATTGTCGTTTGTTTGTATGTTTTGTGCATAAAAATTATTTGCTGTGAGTGGTTCGCTTTCTAGGTGGAATACTGTTTGAAATTTTTATGAGTTCTTGTTTTTGAGAGTTGTTGACGGTGTCTAATTTTATAGATTGTAATATTTTTTGGAGTCGTTGTTCATCACATTGGTTGTGTATATTGGTGTTTTGTATAATTTGGTAGGTATGGAGTGGTTCGGTGTTGATATGTAGGTGTTGTATTGTGACTTCTTTATCTAGTGTATTTAATATTTTAATGTGTTTTTGTTCTTTTTTTGGTATTATTGAATTGGCTAAAAAGATTTCTTTTTCTATTTCTCTATTTAGTACTAAAGCATCGCTGTCTATTTTGATATCTATGGGGACTATAATTTCGCATCTTGAGGGAAGAAATATGTTGTTTTTATTAAGTATTTCATCGTATATGGGGAGTTGAATTTGGTCGTTGTGTGTATTAACTGTAAGAGAGAAATTTTCGTTATTTATATTGCAAGCATGCTTATGTAGGAAATCTCTTCCTATGATTCCATCGGTTTTTATCGGGAAGTTCTGGTCTACTAGTTGTATTTTATGTTGAATGATTCCGTTTCCTAGATTTATGTTCAAATGTGTGGTTCCCATTGTTTCTATACGTTCGTTGGTTATTCCTGTTAGATTAATACATTCTGCGTTGTTTAGTGGGTAGTCTTCCAAAAAGGTGTGCTTTGCAGAGGCTGATGTCTGCTCCTGTGTCTAATAGAAATGATAGTTCTGTTTTTGTTGCATTTTTAATTACTAGTAATATATAGTTTGACGGTTGTGAGAGGGAAAAGATATGGGAGTTGGGTTGTTTTGTATATTCGGTGGATGCCTGGTTTAAGTGTTTTGTCCCGAATTCAGGGGCATCATTAAGGAATTCGGGTGAAATCCATTTCCCTGGTCTTCAATTGCGTGTAAGCGGTGATTTTGGTTGTTGTTTCTTTGATTCCTGTTATTATTTTGATTTCGATAGTTGAAATTCCTGTTATTTCTATTAAAATTGTTGTTATTATTATAATTCCTGTTTTGGTTATTATATCCTTGATTGTTTCTATTTGGATTATTATTATGGTATTGCTTTGTGTTGCTATTAGTGTATGAGTTTCTGTTGTTGTTGTAGCGATTCTTTTGGTAATTTATTCTCATTACCTGGGAATTTGTTTGGGTCGCACTCTCGTATTGTAGCGCAATATTAATTGCTTCCGAAAAGGTTTTTGGTCGGGCCGCAAATATAGTGGGTTTAATATAATCATCTAGACCGTTTTTGAATATGGTTAAGGCGTACGTATCGTTGATACTAGTAATGACGGATTTTTGTTCGTTAGTGGGGTTGGGACATAGTTCTTTGATTTGGAGATTATTTAGATCTGCTATTATGTTTAAAATTTTGTCTTTGAAACCTGTGATAGTGCCTGTTTGTGTTGTTTGGTTTAATAGTGAGTGTAGATGTGGTATTGTTTGATTTGATTTAAATTTATTTTCAAGTGTGGTTTTTAATTCTTGTAATGTTGTTGGGATCTCATTTGCAAGGGCGGTTTGGACGTTTGAGGATAGTTTGCAGTAAAAGGTGTATTCTATTAGTTGTGGTTTGGTCTCTTCTTTTAGGGTTCTGTATATTATTTCAACAACTTTCTAAGTTAAAATCCATTTTTAGTTGTATTATATTATCTGTTTTTGGTTTTTTCAATTTCTAATAGTTCTTTTGCAATTTGATATTTCTTCTTAAATGTTTCTATTTTATTTATTAGGTCTGGTTGCTCTGGTTTTGTATTAGTTTCTACTATGGTACGGACTCTGGTTCTATTGTTTTCTAACTCTTCTAGTTTGCTATCGATAGTGTCCTTTTTTTATATGTTTTGCATCCTAGCTTCTTAAGGTTGGAAATTATTTTATCTATAAAGATGTTGATTTCATCTATTCTTTCCATTAAAAATATGTATGTTTTTTTTTTTTTTTTTTTTTTTTTAGATATTATTTAATTTAGGGTGGGATCATTGTCTGGTCGGCTGGTGTGGGAGGTGTGTAGTATGGTGGTAGGATCCGAGCTTCTGCCTCGAAGTTTGACTGTTGTCCTCGGGTGGAATCATTGTGTGTAAAATTTGTTTGGGCGGAATCGAAAATTTTGGCTGCCTTAGTGGAATCGTGTTGGGAAAAACATTTTTTTTGGAATAATAAAAAAAATTTTTGCTGCCTCAAAATAAAAAAGGGCAGGTTACTGCGTGGTTTGCAGGATCGCCATGTAATAAAGTTGATATAGTATCGTGAGTTTATGTTATCTGTTTAATGGTGAAGCGTTCAAATATTTCTGTTTAATATTTGTTTACGGGAAGATTCCCTATGAATCCTTCCCAAAGTGTTAATGAATGTAGTTTAGCAGTTTAGGCCTATGCTGCTCAATACAAGTATTGACAAACACGAACACCGAACATACTTTGAAAGTATACTGTACGACCAGAACGTATACTGTACGACCAGAAAGAAAGAATTCGTGTAAAACAAGTGTATTGGCAAACGGTGTTATTTACAAATATATACACAAATATCTAAAGAAATAAGCGGGTTAAGGATCCATAATTTCAGACGTGGCTGAAATTTCCTTCATTGACATCTTTCAATTTAATTCTGGTTGTTAATACTTCTGGCGCAAACACTAGCGCAATTTTACTACCGATAGCAGTACACGTCTAGTTAAATAAAAAAATTATACACCATACAAAAATTGTTCATAATCTCTATATAACAAAATAAGTGCAGAAATAAAAGCGAATGAAATTTCATTACTATACGCTTTGGATGGCCGTAACCAATTTTTGTTCGACTTTGTGCAAGTTCTGTAGAATCAATCCCTCAAAGAAACCGCGTTGAAATTTTATCATTAATATAGGACTTCGTCTGTTGGGTTTATGTATATTTTTAAGTTTTGTATCCACCACTGAAGGATGGGCACACTCATTGTGTCATAATGTTTGCAAAACCCAAAGGGAAACTTCTGAGAACCTATAAAAAAATATGTATTCTTGATCAGTACGAAATTCTGAATCGGTTACCCCACGTCTCTCTGTCTGTGCATCGAATGTTTTTGCACGCAGGTTGGTACTGAAAATGGGCCAAATTCGTCAGAGCCCAGTGAAGCATAAACTGAATGCAACTCCGTTTTTCGAAACAAAAATTTGCGAATTTTTTTCCATTCCTCACAAGGAAAATAGGAAAATAGGTTCTTACTTTACGAAAACCTTAACCATTTATGTGCAAAAAAGAAAAAAAACGGCCATGCCCTACCCTACGTTGCAAGTAATTAAATGTTCTTCTTTAACGTACACAAGACAGGATCTTTAAAACTATGTTGTACATACATCAAATGAAGGTATATTATTCGCCTAAAAATATGTTAATTCTAAAATATTTTCTTAATAATATCAGCGATATGTGTGTCACGTAAAAGGGCTTGGAGAGTAGAATGCGACAAGTGTGAGTGAGTTAATTCTAAAAAAATTGTGATGGCCGTCACAACGTGATAGATTAGTATTTCTTATCACTACCTTTTAGTGAAGTAAAATATAAAAGATAAATTTTATCCCATTTACTTTATTATGATCATAAATGAAAACATGGGACATCAAAGACTTTAACGGTGGTAGGTCGGAGGATTTCAGTAATCTAAAAAGATTATTTGGATATAATTCAGTTATTAGTTTATAGATGGTAAGTGTTACCTTCTAAGCATCCTATCAGCAACAAATGCCGCTAACTGTTGGCAGTTACTTTTTCTAAAAATAGATTGAGGGCATTTCTGCATTGTTCTTAGGTTATTAACTACTGCATTTGTATCGTCAATATAACCGTTCATTTACTGATCAAGACAACAAATATCTCAATTAGCAATGAATTTACGATTCGCTTTCTTTTGCATTTTATACACTTTTTATCTCTGTGAATAATCTACATTTCCATACTTCGCTTTTAAATTCAAATATTGGGGCGCAATTCTTCAAATCTGTTATTTGCACCTTACCAAATTTTCAAAGGGACCATCCCCTTGTACGTATATACATATATATACACATATATGTATATGTAGGTTAGAATTTTTGAACAACGACTCAACAAGTTGGTTGCTTATTTTTCAAAATGTATAGCGAACTATTAAGTAACAGAGAAAACAAGCAATACACATTGCATAATTACGCAAGTCATCATTCAGCAAACCGTTGACCAAATAAAGGCATTTTAATTAGTTTATCACCAAATAAAGACATTTTAATTAGTTGATTGAATAAAGAAAAATTTTTATATGTTTAAATTGCCGGACGAAGCAAAGAAATAACAAGCGAAAAGAATTTTTTTGCAAAACTCGTATAAAAAAATGAGTTGTCATCACTCACGCCTGTGCTTATTTTATTGCAACACTGCACAGCACCGCATAAAAAATAGAAAATAAAGGTTTCATATGGCTTCTTTTGAATTCGCCGTGCCGATCTTTGATTTGTAAACAATTTTATATGTTTTCTTTTGAATTCGCCATGCCGACCTTTGATTTGTAAACTGCTCACTGTGTCAGCCAGTAAGCATTGAGGTTGATAAAAAAAAATCAATTGTCTTACTACTCCATGTTGTTTCAAGTAATGGTCAAATCCTTTATTGATAAATTTCAATTAATCAATAATCGAAGATTAATATAATATAAGAAAATCACAAAATTGATCGCGAAAAACAGAATTTCAGAAAGGAATCTTCAGATTGAAGGAACTCAAGTTTTTACCCAAAAAATATTTTAAAAAAATATTAGAGAAATTTTGAAAATACGTTTTCTTGGCCGTAGTAAACATGTTCGTACGCAGTAACAGCTTCCGCGACACGCATAAAAATGCGCTGGAAGAAATTCTATTTAAAAAATTTAGAAAAGCATCCGCAAAGTATGTTACATATTTGTCATATGAGGATTGATCGAATGCATGAAAAACATTTTTCAAGTTTATATCAGACCAAAACTGTTGACTCTAGACATTAATAAATTTTGCTTGCTGTTAAGCTTTCTTCAAATTACGGTCGATAGCAAGGAGGAAGAAGAACAGCAAAATTATTCATGTGTTCGCTGTTATCTGTTAAAGTTCAAAGTATTCTGTTAAAACTAGAGGCAAACATATCAAAAACAGAAATGTTCTTACAAACCATAAGAAAATTTAACATTGATTGCAGGATTAGTTAAGTCAAAAATTACTTAAAACTTGACTTTCTTCTTCTTCTCTCGCTTGCTCTCTCTCTCTCTCTCTCTTATGAAAACTTGTTTGCTTGATGTAAAATATACCCACACAAGTGGCTAAGTAAGATAATAATGCTTTTTAATTTTTTTTTGTCTCTTTACATTGTTTTAATTTAACAGATATAAATGGCGGCGGCTTTGCAATTTAACAGTTTATTCCTGCTTTGCCTTTTTAACAGATTATTCAACTACTGCTTTGCCTTTTTAACAGAGAATTCTGCTACTGTTTTCTTTAATTTGATAATTTAAAAAAAATTAAGGCGGTCTACTTTTAGGCTAACTTGTAAAATTAAATAAGTTTAGTTCGCGTATTTTCCAAACACTTGCATGTATTGTGCAGCTTTGAGAATAAGCGTATATTCGTTCTCAATTGTTTTGCATGTATTGTGCCGCTTTGAGAATATGCGTATATTCGTTCCTTACTGACGGTCTCTTCAAACAAGTTATTCGTATCTATCATAGCGCTGGGAATAATTTTGAAAGTAACCATTTTAAAATCAGGAACAAATTAAGTTTTATCACTTACCCGGACTTTCGTAATATTGGTGCAATCTCCTGTTTCAGACCTGAATAATTATCGGTGTAAATAATCAAAACGATGAAAACTTTTTGCTTAAAACGTAAATCGAGGCGGTATCTCTTTAGTTCCGTTTTGTTTTGCTGGAACTTTTTAATACTACTTTGGATGCTTGACATCGGCATATTTTTTCGAAGTAACATTCTGGATTTTTACGCAAATTTTCGAACTGCACTTCTTTAGACATAAGCGAAAATGTGTTACAATCATACAAATGATGACTACGGCAATTGGAGCTCATTCTATATGTAGACCTAGGCTGCATGGGCGATTCACATGTAAAAAAATTTATTCAAACATTCTCAGTTGTATACAAATTATTGAATACGAATATACACATTAATCTCGCATCGATGGCTTTTTTACAAAGACCTGTTGAATTGTTGAGAACGAATATGCGCTTATTCTCGAAAGTCGCACTCCACCATCTACCTGTAAAATAATAAAGTAATATATGAAATAACATTACGTTATTGGCTAAATGATCCTTAAGAAAAAACAATTGAAATTTTTTGATTTTACAGGAACAAACAATAAACAGTAAACAATAATTACAAATTATAGCAGAAATATCAAAAAAATTCCAAGGTTCTCAAATAAAATGAACGAAAGTATTAACTTTATTAAGGCTTAGTATGGCTTTAGATGCTAATGCTTGAAGACTTTAGTTACCATGGGAAGCATGGGAAGCATTAAAAAGTCAATGGATATATTAATAAAGTAAATGTTGACAATATTGCCATCATTACTAGGGAATTATTCAAAGTGAATATCGTGCGAGGTCGCGGTCTCTTGTGCCGTTCAATCATACAAGCTCAGGCTGCATCTCCCACTTTCACTCATGTTTACGCCGCTCTAGTTGCAATTATTAATTCGAAGTTCCCAAAAATTGGGGGAGTTGTTACTGAAACGCTTAGTTATACAATTTAAAAGAGCTTTTCTCCACAACGATAAAAATGTTTGCTTGCCTTCTACACGTTTCATAACCCATATTGTTAATCAGCGCTTAGTTCATAAAATATTAGCTTTGGAAATATTGACATTACCTGTCGAAATGCCAACGGATGATTCAGTGGAAGTGGCGATCGCATTTTTAAAAGAATGTGGCGTGAAATTGACTGAAGTCTCCTCGAAAGGCGCTGGGACCATATTTGAAATGCTGAAGAACATCTTGCAGGGAGGCAAATTAGACAAACGTGTTCAATATATGATTGAAGTGGTATTCCGAGTACGGAAGGATGGTTTCAAAGATCATCAATCCGTAATTGAATCGCTGGAATTGGTTGAGGAAAATGACCAATTTACTCATTTGTTAACGCTGGACGAAGCCACCGATCTGGAAGAATCGTTGAGTAAGTTGAACTTTTAAAATATTAAATAAATTAGATAAAAATTAAGTAAAATTAAGAGTGTCATATCTACCGACAATGGCAATATATTTAAGAATGAACTGTTGGCAGTGAACGTACTTTCAAGAACGTACGTCAAGTAATTGAACTTTGCCACATGTTTCTGAATTGTTGTGCGGAGCAACGAACATATGAAAAGTTTTATGGCTTACTGGCCCAACGGTTTTGTGCCATAAACAAAATCTATATAGAGCCATTTGAAGAAATATTTAAATATACTTATCAGACTACCCATACGAATCGATTACCCAATGTAAGCAAGTTTTTTGCACATCTATTGTTTACCGATGCAATTGGGTGGGATGTATTGGAGTGTATTAAATTAAACGAGGAGGATACCACATCTTCGAGCCATAAATTCATTAAAATACTATTCCAGGAATTAGTCGAATATATGGGCCTAAGCCAGCTGAATCGTAAACTTAAGGATGAAGCTTTGCTTGAAAGCTTAGCTGGTGTCTTCCCAAAGTCAATACATCCAAAGAAAAAAATGAATTAAAAATCGTAATAAGCATTGATCATAACTGGTGAATGTCAGAGTGAAATGGGATTGAATTCATTGGATTAGAAGATTTAGATATCACTACTACGAAATTAAAACAGTAGATTAGAAATTGACGAACTACGAATACGACAGCAACCTTTATTTTATTTATTGTGTTACTAGCAGCCAATGATGGATCAAATGAGAAGGTTTATGCGCAGGTAGCTTGTGCGTTGTTGTAGCAGATACATCACTTCATCTTATTGTAATTGTTCATTAATACACTAAGTCAGATTCTCTGGTACATGAACGCTAAAGAATACACAACGAGAACCCCTATTCCTTCTGTCTTTTTTCGGCTACGTAGGCGCAACGTGTAAACGCGGCAGGCACGTAGATGCAAAAATGAAAAGTTTCAATGCGCTGATTAGATTAGGTCAACTTAGCATCTATAGCTTGACGTTGAAGAGCATTTCAATATTGTTTTTATAAGAACAGTACAGACGCGTTTAGTAACACGTAAGTTGCGGAATTCTTTTGATCACTCCTTTTAAAGAGGCCTAGAAGCCCCTTTTTATTTTGAACTCATAATTCAATATGTACGTTGAATTTCAAGTTTGAGTTCAGGATAACATCCAAGTCACTAAGTCCAGTAACATTTTCCAGGTTGTAATTGTCAGCAAAGCAGAAAGAGGGTAATATTGTAGATCAAAACAAGAACTGCTTGCAAAATTTTTTTTCAATCTGGCTTTATGCAATTTGCGTCATATCACAAGATTAGATTATTTAGATCCGAGTAAAGGCTAGCTACACCTATGTTTATGTTAAAGCAATAGAAAATTTTTCCCATAAGTGGAAAACCTCAAGGACATCAACAATTCCACATATATCAATCAATTAAAGAAGCTTCGGATGCAACCGGGATCGCCCGCGAATGAAATAATTTAAGGGGCTACATAAATTTTGAATGAAAACGAAAAGCGAACCGAAAAAGAGTTTTTTTGTTCAAACTTTCAAGTGTACAAAACAACAAGTTCAAAACTATATTTAGTAAAATTTTCATTTAAAAATTTTGAAAACTCAATCGTTGCCACGTGTTTTTGGACTCATTTCATTCACGATGGTCAACTTGTCGGAAATCAAAAAACAACACATTTTTTGTTAGCACGTTGGGGGTGGCATAGTCGCCACTTGAATATATTCATGACTGAAGGGTTTGAAAAGTAAATTCAGTTTTGGATTTTTGGCAGGATTACTTGCAAGAAAGATACAATTTGCAATTCAGTTTTGCACCATGTAAAGTAAGTTGTTGTAAATTCAAATCTGATCAAAGAGAAAAAGCTCTTAGCCCACAGGCTACTTAATCTTTTTTAAAAGAAGTATTCAAAAGTTCAATAAGATCGGTACGTTCGTTTACGAAAAATCAAGTCCACCTCATACTTTAAAAATAAAGTTTTGAGAAGAACCCGTTTAATATTTACTATAGTAATAGTAGCAAAAATTTCCAACAACTCTCTTTCCTGATTAACTTGAATGTTTGAGAAAGCATACAGACGTGTTATACTATTAGACAAAAAAACACTGTGGGGGGTCACCGTATAATACCCTATAATGAGGCAAGTCGAAATTGAAAGATCTTTTCTTGGTTTTCATATTGAATTACGTAAAATGCATTTAAGAGAAGTATTCCATTAAGCAGCCTTGACCATAGATAATGAAATCGAATGTAATTGAGTTAAATAAATCAAAGAAATTTCGGAAATAATATAAATAAATGCATATAACTGCGGCAAAGAAATTGAATTTCTTTTAAAACAAATTCGATTAGATTCGTATAAAATTAGCATAAATTTTTTGTTTATTGAGAAAAAACAAACAGTTAAATGAAAAAGCACATACAGCACATGTGCCCCTGCCCAAGTTTCTAAATTAATTTGGATATTCCGATTTGCTGTTATTGTGTGTGAAAAAATGTTCTTCTTCTTCATTTTATCCTCTTTTTCTTTCATTTATCAGTTGCGATGCGTCTTTGAATTCATTGCGCTTCGAATTTGAGTATAAATACCACGTACGTATATTCTGTATATCTAAAAGCACCTATATATATCCATATATATATATGTATATATATACAGTTCGCTAACTTTAGCAATAAGCGTTTCCCATAGCCATAAGAAGCGATGCATAATATTTAATAAATAATATCATTATAGACAAACGTTCGTTTCTTACGTCCAGGCTGTCAAATTTTGCACTTTTCAACCCATTTTTCACTTATCTCATTTTTATTACAATATCCTTATATTAGACGTAGCGGGACATAATTGCTTTAGAGCGCTGATTTATAAGATAATCGATTCGTCTGAGCTCATTCGTTTATCCATCTTATGAAACCGGAAAACTGAAATAGTTAGGATACAGAGTCAGAGAGAGAGAAAGAGAGAAAAAAAAAAGCTTGGAAGATTAGGAAAAATAATTCTTTGTAAATATTATTGTCACGATTTATTCGGACCAAAGAAATAAATTGTAAGACGAAGACTCTCAACTTTTGCAAATAATATAAATAAATATATAAGAAAGTAAATTTACAAGCAATTATTTGTTATGTGAAGAGAACAGCGATATGTGTGATTGGAGTTAATGGACTTGAAATTATAATATCTCTTGGGGCAAATGTAAAGACAAATGTATTCAGGAAGTCTTGACATATGGACATCGTATCTTAAGCTTCAATGACTTCATAAAATTCATGGCATTCAATAGTAGAATTAAGTCATGAGCTTTTTCGAAAATGATTACATCAACCCAGCATACGGCGATTAATTGATCTCCATTTTTACCAGCCCTCCAAATATTTGGAAGGTATTCAGGATATACAAAACCTTATTAAATTGCGTTTGCAACACCAAACTTTTGCTTTTTACCCCAAATCGTTGGTGGCGTATTTATTGGACACTAATTGATGGGTATTTAAAATTCGCTCTGTTGCATTGTTTTAAAACGCTTGATGAAAATACGTCGTTTTTTCCTAGTACCGTAAAAATTTGGCTTTATTTTTATTCTATTTATTTTTTGCCTCTTTAAACATTTTCATAGAACATTGACATTTATCGTCTGGTATTGTGCGACAGTTTTTTGGAACTGAATGAGTTATTTTCGAAAAGTTCTAAATATATTCTTCTCTTTCAATAATAGTTTAACGTACACAATAGCTTTTCTCTAGATTCACAAACTGCTTAATATGTATATTTATTCTTAAAGAATATTTGCAATAAAAATTTCCCATACGTCTTTGATACCTTTAACCTAACTACGGTATTTAATTAATTGCAGACATTCAAAGAATAAAATACGATGAAGTGAGAAGTTAATAAATTAAATCTGTAAAGTAAAAAGTATTGTAAAAGAACATCTTCATGCGTATCTTTTGTAAATCAACTCGGAATATAAAAGTAATTCGCTTATATTAAATGAAAGGTTTTTTTTTCTTTCATAATTCTTACCCTACCCTGCTTGTGGCATTATCTTTATGCGGTATGCAAAATCCAAAAGAATTTGGAACCCGTTTTATTTTAGCAATCGATTCAGAATTACTTTCCGGTTTGATTTAAAGGTGTCTGCTTGTCTCTTCTTGTCGCTTTCTTATATTCAACCCACAGCTTGCATGTAACCTTGGAATATTGTGATGAAATTTTGTGCAACGGCGCATGTTTTTTGGCCCAAGAACAAACGCTATTGAAAATACTTCGGATCGGACAACATTTTTGACCACTTCCCCCATAACACCTGCTTTCACATGTTTTAGTTGTAACGTAATTATTATAAGTAAAAAAATTAAAAAAAATTCTTGATTCAATTGCTTTTAAATCAGAAAGTCAGATAAACGACAATTCTGTTGTCCTCGTTTTAAAATTTGAAGAGAATCTTTCACATGGATCGTTTATTCAACTTAACTAACAATTTCTTCTTCAGTCTGTGCGCTACGAAAGAAAACAGTGCGTTAGTGGACTCCCCTCTTAATCTCCGATATTGTGCGGAATGCTGAAACAAATTTAATTTAAGATTTCCCTTCCAAGGTAGATAACACGGTTTGTTCTCTAGTAAAACGATATTCTTTCATAGCAAGAACACTACTCCTTGACGTGCTGTATGTAGCATTACTATGTCAATAGGAAAGCATTATAAAATGGAACCTTTAGGTTACCATATTGAGATCGTAAAAGAAATGTTACAAAGCTGTTATGATGTCAAAAGAGAAGCATGGCATAATGAAACTACTACGATTTTAATAAGAGTCAATTTATTTAAATAATTAGTGATTAAGAGATATTTTTTGTTAAGCCATCAACTATATACAGTATATTCTGTACATATTCTGGCGTGAGGATTGGGCCCTAGTCATAAAAGAAAGTAATGTTTATTCTTAAATAGTCATGAGAAAACCCTTCGATACCAGTTTTATTATAAAATGCGGTTCTTAAGTTCTGTGAGACGCACAGTAGAAATTGCCTTGCGGTTTGTGATGCCTCTGCTCAGGACATGGCCATTAAAATATACACCATATTCAGTCATACCGTTCTCATTGGAATGAGAAGTGAATTCGTTTTACTCATATCCTCGGGTGTCTCCAATGAAATCGAAGCTACCGCTTATATGAAGCGTATGTGTAGATGTGTCGACAATTATCAAAGGCTTAATAATTAAATAACTTAGCTTTTGTTAAATAACTTAGTTTCTGTCAAATCGAGAGGCCATGTGGCGACACATATTGATGCCGGCATCAATAGTAAAATAGTTTCAGTAGCAAGGTTATAATAATACTCCAGATGGAATTGAATTATAAACGATATTAAAAATGATAGTTTCATCGATTGCAAAATATTCGTAGAAATGACAAAATTTATTTATTTATTGAGGGCAAGTAGGTTTCAAAACGTTTAGCCTGAGCCAAACTTTGCTTCTCCTTTGTGTTTAATAAATATATGACTCACTGACAATTCATACACACAATATTA